ATCTAGTAGATAGACTAAGACGTATGAAATATTATTAAGAGGACGAAAAATAAATATAACTTTAATTATTAATTATTTGATTTATTAAATAAAACTCGAAAGTTAAAATTATCCTATACATTATTTTATTATTAGTAGGTACCTGCATTTAATCCGGAAATACTTTTTTTTATAAAGTGTAGATATTCACTAAAGGAAAAAAAAATGTTCAGTTACGCAAGGCGTTGAGTATCTATTATCTATATTGATATTATACTGGAGATCACTGTGTGACGAATGACAAGTGAATTAAAATATTTTGATATACTCAGGCACTCAGCTGTAGTTGACTGTTGTTATAGCTATTTTGGCGAATTGGAAGGAAATCGTGTGCTAATATTAAAGATTACTTGTCTCCCTTTCACTTTCCCTTTTGTTAAATTAATGATATACACTTTGAAAAGTACCTATAAATTGTTTGGCCCACACAAACAAATTTACATATATCTTGTTAGTTGTTTTAGATCGAGACTATAATACCCTACAAAACAAAAATAACTAATGCTTGACATTTGAAACAATAAAAGGTATTAATGTATGATACAGAAATAAAATTCGTAATTATCATTATATTTAGTCCATCATATTCATATAATTCATATAAGAATCTATAATTTAAAGAAATTTATAATATAGGAAGTCAAGTTATTAATATTTAATAAAACAAATAAAACTAATTGATTATAATCAAACAGTGATATAATTATTAATTAGGTAAAAATAATGATGGTTTAAACTTTAAGTTTTAGATGGGAACTATTATTAATTCATTAAATGCACCTAGTTAGAGGACATAAAGGAAATTTTCTAACTTTTAAGAACATAAGTTTAGAAAGATCCACTATATTTTATGAGTTATGACATTAATGATATCTAGTGTTCTTTAGAAATTTCATATTCCTATGGGTTAGGGTTTTAAAGAACATTTTTTTTTCATTTCTTCTGCATACAATTTGGGTTGCTAAAGGTTGGGCGAAAACAAATGTGAAAAGGGGCTAGCATGCCATACATTTTATGAGTGCCCAATTAAAAGATAAATATAACAAATATATATATATATATTATATACCTATAATTGTAATTTGTTGGCTCTGGTAGAGAGATTTAAATGTATGTAAAATTTTAGCTTCTCTAAAAGATATATTAAATTTCCATTCATGTTGAAACTGGTGCCAAATAATATGATGGCCCTATCATGTCTATGATGATAGGCATATAGCACTGCAAGTACTATGGTGTATGTTTAATATTTATAAGCAGTCTCTTCCTTCTAATGATTTAAACAATACTTAAAGATTCTGAGTGATGAATGTATTAGTTATACAATAATGAATGTTTTTAAAAGACACTAAAATCTTATATACATCACTGAATAGATACCGTTTACGATAACCTACATTATAATAGATCTTATTCTTAAGTAAATACCCAGTGGCGGATGTAGAATTTTTTTTTTTTTTGGGGGGGGCATTGTCTTTTTCTAAGTTTTATGACACAAATATTTAAAAACGGCCCAATTTATAGATTCTAACCCAATAGGGAGGGCCTCTGCCTCCCCTTAAATCTACCACTGTAAATACCTATAGTATAATGTATAAATAACTGTAATTATGACAACTGATAAGTATTATTGCATTAAATGGCTATTGTTATTAAGTAATGAATTATAAATGTATAACATCATGTCAATCATAGGTATAAATCAGGGATTAATTCGCTCATAATACTATGTTAGTAAAATAACTGTATCAGTTACTAATTTGTAAGTAGTGTTAAGTGAGGTTATTAATTTACCAAGTTGATGTAATTTGATCTTAATGAATTGTGAAAGTACTAAATGCATCAAACATTTTTTCCTAGGTAATTGACAAATTGTCAATTTTGAATAAGTGTATGGTTATTTCCCAATTAATTAATAAATACATTGACACCTATCAAAGAACAATCTTCCTACCTTAACCTTTATTTTATGTTTTTATATTATTTTTAAATAATAAAAATTAAAAAAATAGATTATTTTTTTACTTGTGTAGATGAATGATCAAACTTAATATTTTTATAAATTATAAGTAAACAACCGCTAAAAAATATTTGTTGAGTAACATATTTAGCATTAACAGTTAATTCTTTCTAATGTAGGTATGTTACTCTATTGTTCAACAACATATAATACAAAATGCAATATTCAACCATTAAAGGATATTACAAATGTTGTTTAAAATCTAATTTATTTTTATATTGTTCCAGATAACCAACAGATAACTTTTAATTAAATTAAACTTTTTAATAAAAAACTATAAAATAATCAAAATAATTAAGGCATAAAAATAATGTTTGATTTATGTATCAGGATACAGAAGCGGTTTGAGAGTATTATATATAGTGGATAGTGCCCTCCAATACCGGAATCCTACGAGTGACAACTGGACTTCTTGTGACAAGCTATAATCAGTGCGTTCATTATTTTGATCTGTGTATTTGAAGTATTATTTTGTGTCAACTAAAACCCACAGACAGCTGCAAGTCAAGTAAGGCATTAAATATAATATTTTATATTGATTACAGTTATTACATTATAATATGTACATTTGATGTGTTTGATCAAATTCTCGAATACATGGTCTTGAAAGCCCTCTGAACACCCGGAGGAAGGTAATAGCGTGATTTTAGTACTTGTATCTGGTATTATTCTCTAGTAGGTGTAAGTGTAGAGAATTATACAGACACCTAATTTTAACATTAAACTTTAATATAACTATCGACAGGATTTGTTTTTATATTTTCCCTATTTTTGGTTATAACAGTATGTAAGGTATCCTATACTTGAAACCATAAGAGCAAAAGCACAACATAGCGACAAGCTGACAACATACTAACAGGATTATAATATAATAAAATATAATCCCAAATATTATAGATAGGTGCATACCCTTAGATCAAGAAACTAAAATTACCTATACCTATGTAATATATCAAAATACAGATATTTATCGACCATGGATATTGCATTTTAGAATAAAGACAGTCGCCTAGTGCCAGGCAATAATTAATAAGTATTTTTATTTTTAGATGTTTATAACCTACACGGCTACACAGTATATCATTCAACTATCTGATTGTTATTTTTTTTTTTGTAGTATCGGTAGCTATTATAACTGTATGAAACTATGAACCACATTGCACATAACCACACCTACCACCATACTCTGGCAATTTTAACTGTTGTTTGTTATTTCAATCAAATCAATTTGCATTACCCACTACCATAAAATAATTGATATTATATAACAAATTTTTATCTCATGATATTAAAAATCAATGTTTTTTAGTATGATCAGTTTATACATTTGGCAGAGCTACACCTATTTTGTCTTATATTGTTCATACAGATATGGCCATTGTTGAACAACAATAACAATTTATTTACATGACATTGAATGGAATATTTTATAATTGTTAATTTATGATAATAAAGATAAGGTAAGTTGTCATCAATGACATAATAACTTATTAAATAAAATACACCTGCAATGATTATGATTAAAGATATTTTCTGAAAAATACAAGCATAAAAGATGTGTATGTATAAAAGAGAATTTAAAAGCAAATTAAATTTACGGTAAATAAACCAACCCATTTACACTTTACAGACAGTTAGGTACTAATCAAATTTAAAGTACCAAAATAAAATAAATTAAAGTAAATATAACGTAAATTTGATCTACAATCTGAATTTGATGATAGTTATAAACACTTTTAACTTTATACCTACTCATTAGGTAGGTATATATAAATATCGAGATAAAAATGGAATCAATTCTAATCTAATCGAATTAAAATTTGTGTCAATAGCTTTAATACATTTCTAACGGAATAAAAATATAATATACGACGTTTCTAGGTACCTACTTACCAATTGTAATTTGTTGACCCAACCGCGATTAGAATATTTCGGGACACGTCACAATCGAACACATCTGTGAATTGAACAATATTGCAATTTACATCCAAGTCTGAGAAACTCGGATAAGCTTAATTATTATACTAATTACCAATATATAATTATTAATTACAATTATACTACTATAGTATAAATAAAAAAAGAGTTGTAAAAAATGCAGTAAAAAAATTATATTTATTGAATTGCTTATCGATGTATATAAATGATATTATAGTTTTTATCAAAATAATAATTATTGAACTTTCTAATTTCCCATCATTTTCTGACCGATAGGAAACGTTTTGCATCAACTCAAAACGTTTTACAGTGTATTGATTCAAATTTGGTCATAATTACGTCCTATCAAAATCCTATGCAATGAGTGAAATCGATAAAACGAACGTATAATATTATTGAAATGTGTTATATTTTTCAAAAATTAAAAAACTAAATACCACCATTTATGATTTTATTTCAAAATAAATTTAAATTACATAGTAGTCGTTGGACATCATCAGAACATTAATTGGCTGATATTCCATAACTATAGTTTATGACAAAATATTTAAGTTTCTCCAATTTTCTGGGTATAATTGCCAAAGAGAATATGAACACGATCAGCTGAGCGTTTTGTTTATGCTGTTCCGACGTTACCACTACAAAACCGGTCATTGGTACTGGTGTTGGACCAGTATACCAGACTGTGGGCTGTGGGGTTAGTTTTCGGCCGCCTTCGGTAATCGGTATTGTGATTAAAATTTCGTTCGTTCCGTCTCCGTTGTTTATACGTTTGTTAGCTGCTTTTCACCCCGTGTAAACCATAAATCGTAATTCTACCTGCAAGGCTGCAACACAAATTATATCCATATTTATGTGTTGTAACAATAAAAAAGGTGAATAACATCTGTGATTTCGTCCATTTATTTCTACGTTTGCCCACAAAATTACAGTGTTTTGACTATTCAGTTATTCGTCGGCGTCGCAAGAACGTAACGGAAAACCTGAGTTTTCGAACAGAAAAATGAGCGAAGAAGAACAACTTCCGACCGGATGGGAGAAGCGAGTGAGCCGGTCTACCGGTATGTTTATTTAATATTGTGGAATTCTTTTCTGTGTCTGGTCATGGTGGAATTTAATATTTCCAAAATGTTACCATGACTCTATTTAGGTTCTTGTTGCGTAAGATTTTGGCAATAATATGGTCATTTAGATGTTTGGCTGAGACTAGTGACCTATGAGTTTTTGATTTTAAGGTCGATTTTAAATAGTATTGGATTTTTTTTATGTATATTTGTGCATTATCTCAGTTTATCCTACTTTTTATATTTTAGCTATTTCAATTTTCATGTTTTGTTAACACTTCCCTAATTACTTGTAAAAATTCAAATTGCTTTAAAATATGATAGATAATAAATATTTTTTGGTCGATAAAATTTGTAGTAATGACTAATGTTTACCTTGACCTTTCTATAATTTTAGTGTCATATTGCTATAATATTATGAATATATGTACCTAATTATTTATCTGTGTCATCTAAAAGAGGGAAAATTATAACTACCTAGGTAGGAATTTAACTCACTAATGCACTATACAACCTTAAAATGCTCTTAAAAATTCCAATTAATGCACTAACATATGCATTACAACTTTTTTTTTAAATTACTTACGTTAAAAATATTATAAGTGTCAAGGTTTCTTGAAAATCTATACTTAAAAAAAATTTGTCATCGACTAGGCTTCTAATTTTCTATTATGAGCGGTAACATGAATATTTGTCCACGACAATGTCACAAACATATGTTTCTGATAAATGTTTCTTGGTCTGGACCGGGCTTTAGGCAACATCCTTCAGTCACCTTTGAGAATACCATCAATATGCCTACCATGTAGTCAAGCCATGCCCGTGCACAGTGGTCGGTATAATATGAATAAGAATGTTGAACATGCAGAAAAGGGAATCAGACTCAAAGGAACGAAATCTCAAATAAATACAATAATGACTTAAATTTAAGTACCTAAAAACTACTTTAAATATATTTAAATATAAACTATGTCACTAGATAGTTCTTCAATTTATTAAAGTAGTTTTAAAAGAATATGTACCTATAAATGTATGTAACAAACAGTATTCAATTAGTCTAGTAGATATAGAATTGGATTCATTTTATTATAACTTTTCAGGTCAAACTTATTATTTAAACTTATTAACTAAGGAAAGCCAATGGTCTGTACCAACAAAACCAGCATCTGAAAATACAGGCTCAACAAATTCTGGTCCTGAACAAGTACAATGTAGTCATTTATTGGTTAAACATGAAAAATCACGCCGACCCTCATCGTGGCGAGAAGAACGTATTACTAGATCAAAATCTGAAGCAATTGACATCATAAAATGTAAATATATCTGTATTTAATAAATTGTAATTTGATGATTTTTAATGATTTTCAATGAAATTTAAATAATATTATATTTGCAGCTTATCGCGAACAAATTGTTTCCGGCAAAGCATCATTTGCTGAACTTGCCCAGAAATATTCTGATTGTAGTTCGGCCAAACGTGGTGGTGATTTGGGACCATTTACTAGAGGCACAATGCAGAAGCCATTTGAAGATGCATCATTTGCATTAAAAATTGGAGAGCTCAGCGAACCTATACATACTGATTCTGGTGTACACATAATTTTACGTACAGCTTAGATCAGGAATAACTGTTTTCTTTAATAATTCAAACTTTTGCCTTTTCTAATTTATTGTTTATCTCTGAGACACAATAATAATTTGTATTGGTTGCCTTATTTAATACTGAATGCCATTTATAAATATTTTGTTTTATATTTTCTGTTTTCAACTGCAATAATAATTGTTTCTCAAACAACAGTAATATCATAATACAAACAAAAATGTAGAACATATATAGTCACAAAAACCGTTCTGAAATATTATTTATGCTGCTTATTTATTTTTATAATTTTTTTTTTGTTTCTAAAAAAATATTGTGATATTAAAAATTATTCTTTTTCATCCACCTGTTCGGTTCATAATCATTTTTATTCCTATTTCATAAATATTTCATATTTTACTCACATTTTCTTTGTGCATAATATAAACCAATTGTTATTATTAAAATTAAATTAAACTGTAATACATTTTTATATTGCAGTTTTAGGTTTCTATAATACATTTTAAATATGGCCGTTGTATACTTTTGGCTACCTATCGTCAGTTGTGACTGGTTGCCATAGTTATGATTGCTAATTTTATGAAAATATTATTTCACCTTATTTTGGCATACTCGTGAAATTATCATTGTTTTAAATATATTGTTTTGACATTAAATTAATTAACTCTTCTATTATTGTTTTTTTTTCACATCTAATATGTTTTATATAGCAGTAAATATTAACCATTCATTATTTATACTCTATTCAAAATTATATAAGTCCCATATGATAACTGCTTTCCAATGAAAGCCTGAACAAAGCCATGCCCCTGCGCACAAGTTGGCCACCTGGTACTGATCTCATTTTGAATACGCTATAGAAGTCTCTACTGTTTTAATAATGTTAACTTGATGAAAATTATGATTTTTATGACACAATATTATACTTAAAATTATATATAACTTATATTAATTAATTTAAGACTCACAAATTACAAATAAAAGTCAGAAAGTTATTAATAAAGTAATTTGTTTAATCATGAATCTATATAATATAGGTAATACTATTCGTATAATTATCCAAATTAATTTGTATCGGAGAACCGGTGATGTAGCATCTTCATTTATTGAATTGACTAAATACTTTTCAAATAATTAATTGATAGAAAATTGTTAATTTTAAAGTGATTTATTTAATCATTTAAAGTTATTGAGTTAAATTATTAATAATGATAGCTACTTCAAAGTTTTCCTATATTTATAATGCAATTTGAATACCTGTTCTATTTTAAACATCAATAAAGCAAATTGTGTTGGCAAATTATTTTTATGATTTCATAGTTATATAATGAATAATGGTACTCATATAATAACATATATTAATGTATTTTGATAATTAATAACTAATGAGTTGGTATTCAAGAAGAAACAAACATAGAGAGTTGACATTTTCACCAAACATTTAATTATAATTTTTTAGACATTATTTTAATAAAAAAATGTTCGATGTATGATAAAATTGTCAAAAAGGTGGAAAGGATGCAATAATAATTTCTTCACCAGTTATTCTTACGGCAATTCAAATTTATCGGAAGTACATAGTCAACTCCTAATTTTTTTTTTTATAAGTGTTTTAAGCTAAAAATTTTGAAAGAAATGGGTTATTCACATATTATTTTTAATTGTAGACGCTTAAATCTTATCTTTTTCATATAAAATAATGTATTAAGAGTAGTGACTGACATCCCTTTTATTTTACGGGTATTATAGGTAGATAGGTACCTAAGTATGTTTTTGATAATAAATTAGTACAATTGAGTGTAATGTGTAACACTGTGTATTAAATATTAATGAAGTAAATAATATATTGAACCTTCTAAATTGTATAAGCAGTAGAATTAACTTAGGTACCCGCATATCTATAGTACCAACTTTATCCATTTTATATTGTACCTATCTAATATAATATTATAAATTTCAAAGACTTTCAGACTATTTTATGTCTGGGAAGCATTTAACTCCCTAAAGTAGTTACAAACAAGATTGCATTTTCTACTCGAAACCATTCTTGATTTTGATTATTGAAGCATTTTTACTGCTATTTAGCATTTTAGCTATTAATTTACTGCTACAATAGGTGAAGTCAGACAAAAAAAAAATGAAGAACCATTAAAATATTGAAATATATACCTGTTCTGAATCTAAAATTGTATTTTAACATAGAAACAAATACATTCATACCAAAGTGTTTGAAGTACATTTGAGAACAATTATAATTGAGTACTAATATAGGTACATATTATTATATATTATTTGATAAGAAAACAGTATTCATTTTTTTGACTTGAGTAAAAAAAGAAAAATATTGATCTTGAATTGTAAATGTTGTATTTACAGTGTACACGCCTATGTAGACTACAATATTTGAACACAATTAACAGTTAAGATTTAAGAATGTGAATTTTGAATACATACTCAATTATTTTACAATATGATTAAAGATGGGAAATTGAGATATGCCGTTGTGGATATTTGGTTATTTTTTTTTATTGTTATGCCACCCCATTTTTAATTGGGTAGGGCGCCACTGATTGTGATGAATCGGTAGGTATTCTGAACAGATATGTTATTATGGCATATGCGGCAATATGGCGCTGACTGTAGGTAATTTTTCCTCGTGCTTATAAATACCTAAACCAAGAAAATGAAAAAATAACTCTAAAATTTACGATTTTTATCAAAAGTGCAATTATTATAATAATAGGAACCTAGCACCTAGGTAATAGGTATATTAAAGTATTTAATATATTTGGCACGTAAATATCATTATTATATTAGTACCTACATAATAATTATAATTATTATTATCGATTATAAATAAGTACCTACCTACCATTATGTACAATACAATTACACTATCACAGACACCATTCATTATTCTTATATAAATAAAATAGAATCAATTTAACCATAATAATATGCATCACTGAAATTCCTGTCTAGCGTCTGTGATGTGGAATTTACACAAAATAAATTTATCTTCCTAAAAAACCTCTAGAGCTTAGATTAATAAAAGAGTTGAGTGCCCTCGGCTCAGACCATATCGACTATCGAGTTCAAAGATTAGAACTGTACCTATGTACTACCTACAGTGAACCGTCTACAAATATCCTTGATATGACGCATTGACGTTTGTAATTTTGTTTTTATCAATTTAAAAAAAGGTACTTACATTTGTACAATATTATTAATTTATCCAACAATACACAGATAAATCACATTACCTGTACGACCATACATAATTTTAAAAGTTAGAACTTTGGAATCAGCACTCGGCTGCCACAAAGATTCGATCAAAATTCAAAACAATACAAATTACCAAAAATCAACCTCATAGCAAAATGCAACGCATTCAAAGCAAAACATTTAAATTACTTACGATATTAACTATTGTTAAAATAAAATAAGATGTTCATTTTTTCCTTATTGCAGCAGTAGGTATATTATGTAGTAATAATTCTTATAGTCTTTTAAGGGGTTCGCAATTATTAGATTCTAAGGAACATTTTATAGGCAACTTCATATGCATTCGGGGCATATGAAGTTATGCATAGCCGCATAGGTACATACGGGTAATTTTTTTAAATTTTAATATTCATACCTAAGATTTGAAAATGTAATACAAGGTTTCCTATAAGTTGTTGTTCTTACGGGAATTAAAAAAAAAAAATTAGCATAATCCCACAAAATTCTCTATGAGCGTCTGAAGTTGAAACTTTAACAAAATTGGATATTCATCACGTATAAAATAACGATTTATACTATCGAACAATATAACTTTATTAAAATTAAATAATTTAGGGAAGAGTAGGATTTTGATATAAATAAATAAAATGAAGAAGAATTTCGTAGAATATATAAAACAAAACTACCGATAAAAGATGAATTGTCAAAACTTAGAATAATAAACATGTTTTATAAAATATTGAATGAAAAGTCTGAAATCCCTCCCCCTCCTACAAACGCTAATTATATAGTTGCTGGGCTTATGATCAATAAAATGTAGGTGTATTACTACAATAAAAATGCAAAATTAGAGAGTTAAATATAAATCCTAATACAAACATAGTTTTTAAGCAAAATGGTGTCTGGAAACCTGCAGAGGTTATATAACGTCGGGTATTAGGTTAGGACCTTTTTTAAGAGATCATAGTAATAGAAAAAGATATTGGTAAAGGTCTCCAGAACTTTACATAATATATGAATAAAACTGATTTTAATATTATGAATAAACTAATGAAATCATATTTCAAAAATAAATATCATAATTATCTAATAATCACCCTCCTCATCCTTATACTCACCTCACCTGGGGGACTAGGTATACCATTTGGGAGATCTTAAGAAGTGATAAATAGGTAAATACAAAAAGGGAAGATTCTTCGTAGCCCGTCGTAGGTTAGGTTATGGAAGGAGCGTCTCTTTATTATTCTATATCAAGACGTATCAACCACTCAACTTGCAATTTGCTAAGATTGACTCAACAAAGCAATTTTTCTGTCGAGGCCGATGGCTGAAACGAAAGCTGACGTCGAAAGTCGGTTAAAATCGACGGGTGTGGTCTGACAGAACCGGACGAAAATTGGCCGATGCCTGGAGGTTACTTTTTTTTTGATCCAGTGAAGGTACATCTGGTACCTATATAGATAACATTATCAAAATTGATGCCTTTTCTCCATTAATAGGAAATAGTTAATATAGGGAAGATTATGTCGTTGTAGCAATACATATTTTATCCACGTGATAATTAGAATAAAGTGTCAGGAGACAATGAGACACAACTACACAAGTACATTTTAAGCATTACAATGAAAAATATAATTAGCCAATTAGGTATTATAAATTATAATAAGTAATCATGGTAAAGAACAGTTAATTTTAAATTTCAGATTGGTTTGTGTTATAAGGACTTAAACTGTACAGAAAAAGTTTAAACAAATTAAAATAATACAAATATACAATTATTAACAATATGTTT